GCACCTGTCCAGACTTCACTGTTGTACTAGTCCTACACCGCGATGTTTCTTTTTTTTGGAGCTTGGGTCAGATTTGAAATTCCAGTCCAGGCGCCTCATTATGGTGTGGCAGTGACAATGGACCAGGCAGCTGTTCATTCAGTTCATCGTTCTTCTACACATTTGGAGCTTACTTTCTCTTGCATTAATCGCAAACTCATGAAACACTCTTTAGCAAATGCGAGCTTAGGCCTCCAAAACAAAGAAAGAATTCTGTTGAGACTGCTGGATCAGTAGAAGAGAGCAGAAATTTTAACTTTGGGAAGCTAAGAACTGTAGTTAGTGCTGAACAGAAAAACTAAAATTCAACATGGAAACACTCGATTTGCCCAATAATAGGCTGGAAAGCAGATGGCGACAGAAAATGAATAGGGATGCCTTCTCTGGCAGTAGGGGATGTACTGGTAAACCTTAGCAGCAGCTGGAGCTGAGGAAGAAGCCCAATAGACCTGAACGGTAGCCAGTGCCCCGGTAAGTTTGAGCGGTAGCTGGTTGTGGGAAAGATGCCCGGTAGGCCTAAGCAGTGGTGGCAGTGATGCGGCAGACGCTGCTGAAATGTTAAGCTAGAACACATTACAACATGAACTTTTCGGATCGAGCAGATTGATTAGTTGTAGGAGGCACAGACGAGGAACATCTGCATCCGAGAAGTTTTTCGAAGGGAGAAGACAGACGAACAAAAATTTACTTGGAAGACAAAAACGCTGAGCCTAAGGAATGGACGAAGTAGCAGACACACACACACACACAGGTGTTATAAATGTTCTTTGAGTTAAGCTGCTGTGGTAAATTGCTTCCTTCCAACGAGGAACAAGGGGGCGGACAGTGAAAGTGTATATTTGTTTAAGCCTAAGCCTCATCTTTCAGAGTGTTTTTTCAAGCCTTCCGAAATTTACGGCATTTTACGCCTTAAAGCAAGCTAACAGGCAGTTGCAGTGCTCCGCGAAACTCTCCCTCCTCCGCCTCCGTTGTTCCTGTCAAAAACACTACACTACCACTCAGAAGGAGGAGGCCACGTGTACTGTGAATTGCCAACAAATTCACCAGCGCAGCAACACTGGCTGATGTGCTGGGGATGTCGAAGAGAATAGCTAAACAAAACTACTGACCCTAAATTCGGCGGGTTTTGGTGGCTCAATGTTCTGGAAAGTATTTCTTTCAGTATATTCAGTGTTCCCTCCCCCCTTTGTGCCCTCACCCCTTTTTATTAGCAAACCCCATCAATTCAACTAACAAGCTTAGCAAAATTAAGCTGTTGCTACCTGAACGACTTCCGTCTGTCCGCCGCTGAATAAATACCACCATGTAAGTAGCGAAGCGCACCAATGTGACCGGTGCGATCGCGCATTTTGAACAGAACTCTGCTTTAAGCAATTTTCACTGTTTTAAATTTTGCCATGTGTCCTCATTCTGAGCTTGACACAACCAATAACTTCTCAGTCCCTTAATCCGTGAATACCGCCTCAATTTCAGTTTCAAAAGATAATGCAAAACGGAGCTAAGGGAAAGTGCTGCACGGAACTCCCAGAACTAATTTGGTCGAGAGGGTACTGAAACGAGCCCATCATCCGGAGAAGAGGTTATACATTTTAAACAGGAATACCCCAACAATTAAGGCAATGATGCTCCTGCCTATGTAAAAGTGATGTTTCATTTCAACGCAATCTAATTTTATCTATTTCTGCCATTTTCTGCCAGTATGCCTGCTAACATCTTACGCAGATCATCGAAGTCAATTGTTAAAATCCTGAGAAGGTTGCATGAAAAATCTTAATTGCAAATTTAACTGTAAATGAAGGAAAGTAACTGCAAGAAGATGGAGGATTTGGGTAAGAAGAGGCCGTTTGTGGGGCTAAGGTCATGCAACAAGAGGTCAGTTGACATGTGTGAGCCGTGATTCAACATAACACTCAACCATTCATCGGAATTAGATTATCCGAGTTTAATTCAACTTTGATCGGTAGGTCACTCGAGGTGACAGGATTCCATAAACTGGAATGCGCAGAAGATGTTTCAGTTAGCCCAAATGAAAATCCAGTTCCCCCCATTCCGGTTTTGGAAAATAAGTCGTTCTCTGAAGTGAATGTCAATGAAACAGGAACAACAAAAAGCTTAGTTCAGATTTTCTGCCTTACGCAAAACTGATGATTCAGCTCGCATAATTCCAGCCATAGCAGCACAGCAGCAGCAGCTGCTGCTGCAACTGTTGCTTAATAGTCTAAGTCTGAATCAATCAAGCAATCTGTTAGGTGCATACCACGCATGCATTACTGAATTCTACAAAAACATGCAAAGTAAGAGCACTCAGAGTGCTAACAAAGAGTTTCTAAAAAATAAATTTTTATTCACAGGGACGTTTTGCAAAACAATAAGCTTTTGCTGGGCTAACCTCCAGCGTTTTGGACACGCCTGTATTTAGCAATGCATTACATTTCGCATTTTATTCAGATCGGCAAGCACAACACAGATATACTGACATATGCACATGTCATGCGTTTGGTACATTAGAAGCGAAACACAAAAGACACAAAAACACCTCACAGTGTTTGAGATCAGCGTAGCGATTAATCGCAATCTGACGCTTGGCTCTTCGCGTATAATATTTTATCTTGACCGGTGAATCTCTCCCACTCCCTCCCTCCCCCTTACCTCCCTCTTTAGGTTATGTAAAAATTGACGATGTTAGCCATGGACCCCAATAAAACATAACGCAGACAAAATGGAAGTTAACGAACACGGTAAATTCATGTTCGTCACGCTTTCCCTGTAATAACAGATTTCCACAGGAAAGCTTCAGGATTATCAGTTGTGATGTCTAACTGCTGGATTTTTTTTTTCTTAAATTTTCTAAATGAGGATTCTTTTTATAACTTCAAGAAGCCCTTGCAAATGTTTCTAACTAACATTTTAATAACAAAAATTTGTTAGTGACTTGTAACTTATACCAAGAATACCCGGACCGATGGTGTAGAAACGCCCCATGTTAGTGATTTTACTGAGATGCAGCAACAAGCAAAATACAGCTGTGCCT